CCGAAGACAATCTTTCCGTGGTCACATGGCCAGTGCGACTTAGACACGGAACACTGTTACCTTTCCACCAAGGTGGTCCCTATTTATCTACTTGCATTTGCATGCTTTCGAACCACTAGGTTGGCGGGAGCTGGGACAAGCGACGGGCGCTCACTCCATCGTGTGGATTTGATCTTATGACTGCTGGTCTTCTGAACCTGCAGCACAGGCTTCTGCGGTTTAACCCACTGCGCCACCACGTCCCTAAGAGGTCCATAGTTACTCATAAAAAGTGATGGTTATTCTAGGAAATTTCAGCCTGCTACAGAAGAGAAAGGAAACCAAGAGGGAATGGAAAAAAGTTCTAGTCAACCACAAGAGGTCCTCAGCGTAATCAAAAAGTCTCAGTTCTTGCTTTATAGTCTCTTTACCAAACCAGGCGTAGGACGATACCTAAAGAAAGAAAAAAGCCCAGATCTTCATGTTAAAATGGGTGATGGAGACCATCAAAACCATTTTAACACCTTTTATAATCCAAATGAGTTATTATAATCCAAATGTGTCCTTCTGTATGTCTCTTAAGTGGCAATCCCGGCTGCTATCACTGCGTCCTGTAATGAAAATGGAGTCCTTCCTCTTTTTTGATATCCGAAGGGCTTCTCGGTCCTCTTTCACTTTTAACAATCTCCAGACGACACTGATATATTAACAAAACCATTAAACTGTCTCTTGGTGATTCTTTATTGTCCACAGCTCAGCTGTTTAAAGCAATCACACTTCGTGGGAGTTGATGGTCAGGGCTTAAAAAACTTTAAGTGTTTACACCAGCCTCCTTTCGATTCCCCCATAGATGTCTGCAAACATTCCAGTTCGCTCCTGCAGCATCCAGAGTTCCCTTCCCTTAAGATTAAAGTCTCTTGTCTCTTGCTGTCTGGAGTTCTTTTGTTTTCTTAAAAGATCTTCACTTTTAAGCTGCTTGCTTACTCCCCCCTTTTCTCAATGCGGTAAAGCAAGCCTCTTTGGAGACGTAAATATAAGTCTAAACGTGGTTCCTTATTCAAAAATTGTTCTTCTCTCAGTAAACAGAACGTGGTTCTGTGCTTAACTAACCTCCCAGTCATAATGTCTCTCTCTCATCAGCTATAAATCTTGGGCAGTTTTGCTTCCAATTTCAACAACTCACTTTTTTCAGAGTTCTTCAAAGGTCTGATCCCAATGCCCTCCCAGTGGAGCGTACAGCTGCAACGACATCCAAAGATGGTGTCTGAGGAGTCCTCTGTCTTGGGAAGAGAATTCTCTAGAAGTTGCTCTCTGCTCCCCCCAGATCTCTCAGCTCTCCTGTGACTCAGGGGGACCTTCTCCTAGGTCTCCCCGCCCCTAAAATTCTTAGGGGTGCCTGGACCCTCCGACATACAGCAGGTA